GAGTACCAGGTAATCGCTGTATTCAACAGGAGGTTGAACTAAGGAATACATGGGTTTTCCTACAGTATATATAGTAACTGGTATAGGGGTTAATACCCAAAGAAGAGAACAATAAGAAAGGACGCGTAAGCTATCCTGTGAGAACGTAACTCAGAGAAATGAGAAATACAAGGGCGCCTATTGGTAGAAGGTGAGTCAAGGGAGATAACGTGTGGGAAGAAGATAGCGTCCATGGGAAGTTCTACTCAGAGAAAGGTACTGTCCAATAGCAATGCTCGGAATGGAAATGGAATGAGACAAGCATGGGAAAATCATAACAATCGCCAAGCACTTTAACGCTTTGGCTTCTGAGAAACAGACCATCCCTAATTGTCTCCAGGGACTGATCTGTCTCAATGCACTCCCTCCTCGGTATGACTCCCTCGTTCAAGTCTTAGTCCAGGGATCGACATCGACTATGGACATTGACAAAGTCCGGGAGGCTGTCGTCACTGCCTGGGAGCAATCCCAGAACAAGAAAACGGCGCAGCTAGGTGCGCACAAGATCTCGGCGGTGAAGCGTAAGCCGGGTGATCCCTCCTTTTCTTCGCAGCAGCAGCAGCACCCTCAGGGCAGCAGCAGCAATGCGCGAGATGGGAAGAAGCACCCTTATCGTGGCAAGCGCGCAGGCAAGAAGCGTCAAGGGCAAAACCATGATCACCACCATGCCCACGATGTCTTAATCGCCTTGACCATCTCCCTTCCTCCTCCGACCATCGCTCACGTCCTCGACATTGCACCTAGCGGCAGCAAGACTTGGACGGTTAAAGAGCAAGGTCCGTTCCACCTGCCTCCTTCGGCAGATACCAGTCACTACAACAACAAGCATATCAAGAAATCCTTCAAGCTCGCGCGGGACCTCGACATAAGTCCCACCGAAGAAGATATCAAGGTCTTGGATGCACTCATCGGGCAGGTCAATCCGGACCCGGATGTCAACATGGACGACGTCAATTCCGTCGCATCCAGCTGCGCGTCCAAGCGTGCTCACTTTGAAGGAGTCGCTCACGCGGATGACGCTGCGGACAGCAACCACGACGACAACCAGTCTATCGACTGGGGTAGTGACAAGGACCAGGGGGAGACTGTCAGTCTCGGCGACGAGGAAGACCTGGACCGCACTATCGCAGAGGCTGCTGGTTTTGACCAGAATGCTTTTATTGATGAGCACTACTCGTACGTGCCATCTTCCCCTTTACAGGACTCCACTGACGCGCCATCACAGTTAGGGCAGCATAGTGTAGATCTTAATTTGAGTCCTGTAACGTTGGCTTTAATATACTGCACTCATGCGCAAACTTATGCTGCGTGTGCAAAATGTAAGGGGAAAGATAAGGCACGACAGGGTAACACCTGGATCCTCGACTCGGGGGCCTCTCAACATTTCACTTTTGACATGAGTGATTTCATTGATTTTGAGGAATTTAAGCAACCTGCGACCGCGTCGACTGCGAACGGGTTTGCATGAATACTCGGGTTTGGTACGACGGTCCTAAATTATTATATCAAGGACGTCGGGAACATAACCACTTGGTTATTTCCAGTCTACTATATACCTGACCTGAATATTCGCCTCATGTCACTCGGAGTCTTACTCCAGGATAAATTAAAAGTGTCTGGCAATGTCCGACACATAAGTCTCTATGAAAAGGGATTGCGCGAACCTTTATTCAGGTTTTTACCGCGGCAGCCTGGTGACACTATCTATAGTGTCAGTACAATTCCTGCACCGGATGCGTACTCTATATTCCCAACGATCTATGCCGTTGATTATGGGATTATGCACTGTCGCATGGGACACCCCTCTAAGGAAGTCCTGCGGCAAGCTAGGGAACACACTAAAGGTTTCCCCACCAATCTGGAGTTTCCTTCAGAAGACCCAGTATGCCCTGGGTGTGCGGAAGGGGAAAATGCCTTCTAAGGCTTTCCCGCCATCCACTCTACGGGCTAAAGAACCGTTTGAGTTAGTTCACTCGGATCTTAAGTCTTTTCCCGTAGACTCCTACCATAAGTATCAGTACAGAATCGTCTTCTTTGATGATACACCTCCTATGGATGGGCCATGCATCTGCGCTCCAAGGGTGCTGCAATTGCTAAGACCCGTCAATTCCTTGCCTATGTACAAAATCAATATGGCAGGAAAATTAAGGAGTGGATGCCCGATGCAGGGGGAGAGTATAAATCTGATGCATTTATCAAGATGCTCAGAGATGAGGGCATAAAAATCCGACAAAGCGCACCTTATGCACACCAACAAAATGGTCGCGCTGAGCGCTTTATTCAGACTATAATGGACAAAGCGCAGTCAATGCGGCTAGAGTCCTGCTCACCTCCAACTTGGTGGGAATTTGCAGTAGACCATGCTGTTCACGTCTACAACCGGACCCCTTTGAAGTGCCATCAATGGCAGACTCCTTATGAGGTCCTGAACAAGGAAGCTCCCGACATCAAGCACTTATGTGTCTTTGGATGCAGAGCATATGTCTACCTGCCTAAGGAAACCAGACCCAATAAGTTATCGCCTAAAGCTGAGCTGATGACTTACATTGGTGTCGCTGATGGCGGCCATGGCTTCAAGTTCATGCGCGCCAATAATAGCATAGTCACTCAGCCTACTGCACTGTTTGACAAAACTATGTTCCCTAAATGCCCTAATACAAAGCGACGGGCAAGCACTCGGCTGCAGAGTAAGCCTAAACCAGCTGACAGTCAACCAGAAAACTCTGATGATGACTGGATCACTGATGACGATGAGCCAGACTCACGTCCTCCTCCTAAATCCCAAAAGGGCCAGGCCAGGATCGTGACGACGAACCTGCGCAGCCTGAGGCGCGAGAGCCTGAGAACCTGCCATCTCCACCTCCGGGGGATCCTGCGCCACGAGATGAGCCGCGGAGACTGGTGAGAGAAAGGAAACCAGTAACTCGCCCGGGTAATATCTACAGTGAATCGCGGAATCCCGTAGAAACCTATCGCGAGATTGAGTCAGACAAGAAGTGGAAGGATTTAGTTGGCAAAAAATCTAAGATGTCTCACATACCTCGCCAGTCCAAGCAGAAGCAACAGGTTCCCGGACCTAGCTCTGCCCCTCCACCTCGCGACCCTCCTGCTCAATCCCCGGGTGCTTCGCATGAGCCAGTCGCTCCTGAAGCCTCTGACCAGCGGTCTGAACATGACGCTGATGAGTTACTTCTGGCACAGCTATGCCGGGAAGGGGGAGTACCATTGATTAATTATCTGCTTCTGAAGGCTATTTCACCTGAGGCAGAAGATCCAGACACGTCCAATGTCAGAGAATGGACGTACCGCGATATCCTTTGCTTACCACCAGAGAAGCAGAAGGAATGGAGAGCTGCTTGCCACGAAGAGTTGGATGCACTTCGTCGGCGCAGAGTCCTCGACTTGGTTGACCACCCTAAAGGGCGTAAAGTCATAAAATGTCGCTGGGTATTTGACGTCAAATCAGATGGACATCGCAAAGCGAGATTAGTCACTAAAGGCTTCTCGCAGGTTGAAGGTATAGACTTCGACCAAATATTCTCACCAGTTGTGCGCTTTGAGACAGTGCGCCTTATGCTCGCGCTAGCAGCGCTTGAGGATTGGCACATATCTGGACTCGATGTGCGCAATGCCTATCTCTATGGCAAACTGGATGAGGAAATATATATGGAACAACCTGAAGGCTTCACCGTAAAAGGCCAGGAGCACAAGGTTTGTAGACTGTGCCGTGCACTCTACGGACTTAAGCAAGCAGGGCTTGCCTGGTGGCGCACACTTGCTGAGTCTTTAGAGAAATTAGGCTGCAAGCGTCTAACTACTGATGCTGGCATCTTCTTATTTAAGGAGAAAGATGGCCGCATGGTCATTATGGTCGTCTATGTTGACGATGCCTTGTTCTTTGGCAAGGCCAAGTCTCTCATGTCAGATGTTAAGTCACGGTTCATGAAGAAGTAGGAATGCAGGGACCTTGGTGATGTCAAGGAATTCCTACGCATGCACAATACAAGGCAAGGCCAAGACATTCATCTGGACCAGATCACCTACCTTAATAAAGTGCTGCAGCGTTGTGGCATGCAGAATGCAAAATCTGCGCCAACTCCTCTTCCTGCAGGCTATCGACCTGAGCCTCACAATGGCCCGGTCAATCCTACTCTTCGTAGCCGGTTCCAAACCGTAATCGGTTCCTTACTCTATATCATGCTTGGAACTCAACCGGACATCAGCTATGCAGTGACCAAGTTAGCGCAATTTGCTGCTAATCCATCTCAAGCCCATTTAGATAAAGCGCTGTATATCTGCCGCTATCTAATCGGGACTTGTAATTACACACTAGCTTTTGATGGTGCTAGTGGACTTGGTATTACTGCGTGCACTGATTCAGACTGGGCATCAGACCCCAGTACCAGGAAGTCTCAAACCGGTTACTTCCTTAAATTAGCCAATGGCATATTCAGTTGGCAGTCGAGAGCGCAGAAAACTGTTGCGCTATCCTCCACTGAAGCCGAGTACATGGCGCTCAGTGATTGTAGCCGCCAATGTGTATGGGTTAGACAACTCTTTGAAGAGTTAGGCTACCAACTCGGCCCCATTCCTATTTGCGGTGACAACCAAGGATCTATATTCCTTGCATCTAATCCTGTCACCGAGCGAAGGTCTAAACATATTGACATTCGCTATCACTATATCAGGGAAGTCATCGAGCAGAAGAAAGTTGAAGTATTCTACATCGATGGCGAGAATAACCCTGCAGACATGTTCACTAAGAACTTAGGACATGTCAAGTTCCTGCGCTTCAGAG